AGCTCAGTAGAACATCTTAAGTACCTTAGAAACTTTTGTGTGTGTCTACCTATGAAGGAAAGCATTCCCTGCCCTCATCCCCATGGTCGTTATTAATTTTGTGTTAATTATTCCCTTGCCTTTCCAGTTTTATCACTTGTGTGTCCTTAACCAACATATTGTTTACTTTTACCTGTTTTTGAACTTTGTATTTAAATAGACTCGTACTTTATATTCTGTGAATTACTTTTGTTAAACATTATGTTTCTGAGATTCATCCATGTTGAAGAATGTGCCTATAGTTTAGCAATTCAGAAACTTCAGTTTCAGAACTCCTTTATACTTTTAAAAACTATTGAGGAACCCAAAGATCTTTTGTTTATTGGATTATATCTGTTGATAATTACCATATCAGATATTAAAACTGAACAATTTTAAATACATGTATATTTATTGTTACCTTTAAAAATAATAAACCCATCATATCTTAACATTTTACAAAAAGAAAATATTGACAAGAGTGGCATTGTTTTACATTTTTGCAAATATTCTGAATGTCTCCTTTAATGTCTAGAGTCTCATGTCCGCTTTTGCATTCAATCTGTTTCAATATATTGTTATGGTTGAAGCATATGAAGAAAATCAGGCCTCATTCAGCTGAATAGTTGCAAAAGGGTAGAATATTTTAATAACTTTTTCAGATAATTATGTTTTTTGATCCTCATCAAAACCTAACAGTTCTTAAAGGTTAGCTGCAATGTAGAATTTGAAACCGTATCAGTGAACTCTTCATACTCCGTGATGTCAAAATCCATTGATCTATTTTGCACTTGGAAGGGCACCTTCACCCACACATTGGACATGTGGAAAATATAATGGTTCACTGAATTATACAGATCTTGAAAATAATGATACATTTCATTATATAACATCAAAAAATCACATGCATTCATTATCACCGTTTGTGGGAACCACTGCTGTAGCTCATTCATTTTCATTGAAATACAGTAATCTACCATAAAAATATATATCCATGTTATTCTTTATGAACATATTGGTTATTTCCAACATTGGGTTATTAATAATGCTGCCATAAACGTTCTTATTCATGTCTCCAAACAATATTCCAGCATATAGTAGTGGAATTGCTGGATCCAATGGGAGGGTATGTGCATGTTCAGCTTTATTAGATACTATCTGACTTTTCCAAAATGGTGGTTCTGATTAATCCTCCAGCAGTAGTGAATGAAACCACCCTTTGCTCCCTGCTCTCCAAATATGGCATTGTCCAACTTTTTAATTTTTGTCAGTGTGGTGAAAATTAAATGATATGTTTTTGTGGGTTTAAAATGTATTTCTCTGCTTATTTAAACATATTGAGGATCTTTGCATAGTTTTTGGCCAATTGAATGTTTTTTTCTATGTTTAGTCATGTTTTCCCCACTTTTCTTATTAAGTGTTTTTGTAGTTTATAGGAGTTTTTTTTTAAATGCAGTTTTATGTGCAAGTTCATCTTTTCCTGTTGCTAAAAAGTGATTAGAATCATTTAAACAATTAAAAAAATATGCAAAGGCATAAATTGAAAAAAACCTTTCTTCCCTGTACCTATCCAACGCATTCTCCACCTCCCTAGCTCTTAGTATCCTGTTCTTCCTTTAGTGCTTTTTGAGTGTACGAGTATATATTTTTATATTCCTTCTTCTTACCCTAATTTTTACTACATTATGTTTTTTTCCTCCCACATGTCAATATATCCTGGAAATCTTCACAAATCAGTATATGGGAAACTTTGCTCTCCTATAGCTTAGGAAACCATAATTTTCCATTGTGTGGCTGTAATCAGTTTATTTACACGGATTATTTGGTTGTTTCTAGTCTTTTGCTATTAAAAACAATGGTACATGGAATAACTTCATATAGTTGTCATTTTGTATGTAAGCAGATATTTCTATATGATTAATTTACAGAACTGTGATTACTGAGTTGAAAGATAAATGCTTTTGAAATTTTGCTAATTATTGCTAAACTGCCTTCTATTAGGATTTTGTACTTATCTGCTGTGTACTGGGGTGATTGTTTTTCCAAAGGCTTCCCCAGCTGAATGTATTGCTGGAATTGTGGATTTTTGATAATCTGGTAAGTGAAAAGGCGTATCTCGGTTTAGTTTAAATTTGCTTTTTATTATGACTGAGTTTAAATATCTTTTCGTGTTAAAGACCCTTTTTTCCTTTTTCTTTGTACCAGCTATTCATATCTACTTTGTCCATCTTTCTATTTTTTATTGGGTCATGATTCTATGAAATATATATTTTAAATGGTCTTCAGTCCTGCTTCCTGGCGTACAATTCCTAAAATACTTGGATTTTACAACTCCTAAAATCTCTGAAGTGATGGAGCCTTTTTGTATGCTAATGAGTTGATGGCTGGCAGACCCTAGGTAGCTTCAGGATTGAGGCTGGCCACTGGAAAGACCAAGCCTTGATTAGAGCGAGTAGGACTTTGAACCCCACCCCACAACCTTTGCGGGGAGGGAACAGGGACTGAAGGCTGAGTTGATCGCCAGTGATTTAATCAATCATGCCTTCATATCCCGAGCTTCCAGACCACTGAAC